AGTTTGCATATTCCCTCGTGTTATTTGCGTGTTGTTTGTGCGAGTCTGTGTGTGTGTGTGAGTCTGTGTGCGTGTCTGTGTGCGTGTCTGTGTGTGTGTGTCTGTGTGTGTCTGTGTGTGTATGAGTCTGTGTGTGTGTCTGTGTGTGTGTGAGTCTGTGTGTGTGTCTGTGTGTGTGAGTCTGTTTGTGTGTCTGTGTGTATAGTCGAGGGAGCGGTAGTGCAGCGGTTAGCGCAAACGCTGCGCTACGAACCCGCCCACCCGGGTTCGATTCCCGCTCACGGCCAACACCAGTGACGAATATCCGAACCGGTCCTGGGCCTCCCCTAGGTCGACTCAGCCTCACCTGAGTTCCTGGTGTGTAGTAAACATCACCACGAGAGAGACAAAGGCGGCCGGGCGTGGTGCTGGCCACCCACCCCCTCGTGTGCCGTGCCGGCATCCATAGGCGCTGCTCGCTGACGGCACTTGCCCCAACAGTCTGTTCAGGCTACACGGGGGATCTTTATCTTTCGTGCGTGTCTATAAACCTTCGTAAGGTGCTCGCTACCAGCACTCGCTCGTCGAGTCTGCTCAGGCAACACGGGGGGTCTTCGCTGTGCGCACAGTCTAACCGTGCGTTTTGTGGGAGTGGTGGCGCAGCGGTTAGCGCGCTGCGCTACTCAACCTGGCGGATTCCGAACTCCATAGGTCGAATCAGCCTCAAATTAGTACCTAGTGCGGTGTAAAAAAAAACATCGCCACTGGGGAGACAAAGGCGGTCGGGCGCGGCGCTTGCCACCCACCATCTCGTATACCACACGGGCCTTTATACGTGATACTCGCTAACTGCACTTGCGTGTGTTGAGTGGTGATGGCTATTACATTGTTCACTGGGGTGACTCGGGTTCTCAAGTCACCAATGACTCACACAGAGACCCATATGCTCACACAGAGACCCATATACTCACACAAAGACCCATAGACTCACACAGCGACTCATAGATTCACACGGAGACCGATAGTCTCACATAGAGACACATATGCTCACACAGAGACCCATAGACTCACATAGAGACCCATAGACTCACAGAAACCCATAGACTCACATAGAACCCCATAGACTCACATAGAGACCCATAGACTCACATAGAGACCCTATGAGCTGTGATTAAGCCGGGTTCTCAACTGCAGCGAGTTAATGGTCTGGTCTCCAATGACTGTACACACACACGCACACAAAATAAACATCACGTGACACTTCTTTCTGCGCTTCATTTGGCTAAATTTCATTCCAGAGTTGCTCCTCAGAGCGGGTGTGTGGTTCAGAGGTCACGTGAAGACGGAGGTCTCGAAGGTAGTTCTGCGGGCTTGTGACAACTTCCGCGGGCCGTTCTCTCACGCAGCGGGTGGAGATTTCTCACGGATTCCTCGTGTGGTGACACTGCGCAGAACGCTGGCACGACGCGACGCGTCCATTGTTACAAATCAAATTGAGATGAGGCGGTGTGGGGATTTCAGAGAGCAGTTCAGATCGTTGGGACACGAATGGCCGCGTTAGAAAACGCGGTGGGTGCCTTACGGCGCCTCTAAGTCGTGCTGAATCGTGGCTGACGGCAGAGGTTCGGCGGGGCTGAAACTACTCGTTATCCAGCAGTGGATTGACCGTGGCTGACGGTGTTGATGGTGATGCTGGTGATGCTGGTCATGATGGTGATGACAGTGATGATGGTGATGATGGTGATGACGGTGATGATGGTGATGATGGTGATGACGGTGATGATGGTGATGATGGTGATGATGGTGATGACGGTGATGATGGTGATGATGGTGATGCTGGTGATGATGGTGATGATGGTGATGACGGTGATGATGGTGATGATGGTGATGATGGTGATGACGGTGATGATGGTGATGATGGTGATGCTGGTGATGATGGTGATGACGGTGATGATGGTGATGACGGTGATGATGATGGTGATGATGGTGATGACGGTGATGATGGTGATGATGGTGATGCTGGTGATGATGGTGATGACGGTGATGATGGTGATGACGGTGATGATGGTGATGACGGTGATGATGATGGTGATGATGGTGATGATGGTGATGATGGTGATGATGTCGGCAATGCGGGGAGGTGTCGCGGCCCTTCCTAGCTGAGATATCGCGTGTTGCTGTTGCTGTTGTTGCTGTTGTTGTTGCTGTTGTTGCTGTTGTTGTTGTTTTGGTTTTGTTTGTAGTTTTTCTTTTGTTTCTTGCTTTTGTTTTCTTTGTAGTTTTGTTTTAGTTTTTATTTTGTTTTGATTGTAGTTTAAGTTTTTATTTTGTTTGTAGTGTTTGTTTTTGTTTGAAACTTTCGTGACTGCAGGAATCCAAACTCTTTGCTTCTTTCGGTGAAGTCACGTAGGTAAAACATAATAATAATAATAGATCACGACGTTTCAATCGCCACACAAGCGGTCGTCCTCAGGTGGGATAAGGACGACGACCACTTGTGTAGGCGATCGAAACGTCGTGATCTGTTGTTATTTTTCTACGTGACTTTACCGGAAGAAGCAAAGAGTATAGTTTGTGTTTTGTTTGTAGTTTTGTTTGTAGTTTTATTTGTAGTTTTTGTTTTCTTGGTTCTTTCGGTAAAGTCGCGTAGAAGGGAAATAATACAATAATACAAATATATATATGATTTATATATGATTGTATATGATTGTTTGTGTTGCAGTCGAAACGTCGTGAGAATTTTTGTTGTTTTATATTTGTATTATTTTATTAGTTCCCTTCTATGTGACTTTACCGAAAGAACCAAGAATATGAATCCCTGCAGTCACGAAAGCTTAAAATCAAATTTAGTTTTTATTTTGTTTGTAGTTTTAGTTTTGTTTTTAGTTTTTGTTTTGTTTGTAGTTTTAGTTGTTGTTTGTTTTTAGTTTTTGTTGTGTTTGTAGTTTTAGTTGTTGTTTGTTTGTCGTTTTTGTTTGTTGTTTGGCCCTCGTGTCACGCCACGGGAAGATGAGTGCAAAGGAAGCAAGGCGAGAGAATGAAGGAGCGAGCAGAAGTGAGCGTCACGGAGCAGCGTCTGTTTTCAAAGGAGGCGGTGGATCGTGAGCGGGGGTGGCGGAAGTCACGTGATGTACGGGAGGTTTTGGTTTATTTCGATTTTTTTTTAAATACGCGACGTCCACATCACCTCGGGACGTTAACGATCCCCGTCAAGAGCAGGCCTCTGTGTGACAACGTCAGGAACCAAATCACCAGACAATGACACAATTGGGATCACACTGTAGACGCAGAAGCAGCAGCAGCAGCAATAATCGCACTCTTACTAGAGTGAAGACGAATGGCCCAGGTCTTGAAGTTGAGACTCATCCTGCTATCTTGAATTCTCACCTGGTTATATAATCTAGAACTCACCCGCCCACTTACCAACCCACTGGCTCTTGCAAATGAGACTTTATCCTGGTATATTGAGTTCACAGCTGGTTACACAAAATCAACTTGAACTCACCCACTTACCCACCCACTCACCCACCCACTCACCCACTCACCCACTCACCCACCCACCCACTCACCCACCCACTCATCCACCCACCCACTCACCCACTCACCCACTCATCCACCCACCCACTCATACACTCACCCACTCATCCACCCACCCACTCACCCACCCACTCACCCACCCACTCACCCACTCACTCACTTACCCACCCACCCACTCACCCACCCACTCATCCACCCACCCACTCATCCAGTCACCCACTCACCCACCCACTCACCCACCCACTGATTATTGTCTCTACCCTGGTCTCTTCAGTTCTCAGCTGGTTGCACAAACCCAACGTCAAACTTGACCTCGTGCGTGGCTTTGTTACCCCCAGGGTGCGTCACGGTCCACCTGGGTTGCCTTTCGGCGGTTCCCGAACGCCATTCCCCTCGCAACCTGCGCACGTGTGCTGCCCTGTGCTGCCCTGTGCTGCCCTGTGCTGCCCTGTGCTGCCCTATGCTGCCCTGTGCTGCTTCTGTGCCAGTGCAAACGAGGTCATTACACGCTACACGTTCCCGATAATTGTGTGTCAACAAAGGCCTACGTGATGTAAGAGAGAGAGCTCACATTCGGATTGATACTTCGCGCGTGCCAACAGACTCAGAGTTGGGTATCTTTATATCGTACTGGAGGAATCCGTGTGCATTGATGTTTAGTTTTTGTATCCGACTGCGTGTACGTCATGTATTTAAAGACACACCAGCGACAAGGCTATTTACTTGATTCACTAACAAAAACGAGGTCCCTGTAATTGTTTAAATGAGACTTAAATGAATGTACAACGTCAGGCTGAGCCTCCCCTAGGATTGTAACTGATTACTGTCGCGAATACCGACACGAAGAACAAGGGGGTTGGGGAAGTGGTTGGCAAGACGCTCGTCCGCCTTCGTCTCCCCAGCGCCGGTACACATACAGAGACAAAGATCCCCATCGCCTCGATAGACCGTTGGGGCAAGTGCTGTTAGCGAGTAGCAGCACCTATGAAGGCCGGCGCTGTGGCTCACGAGGGGGTGGGTGGCCAGCACCACTCGTCTACGACGTGAATATCGCATTTGCTTCACGCAAAGTCTGACTCTGCTGGTCGTGAGAAACTGAATGTGGAAACCGGTGCAGAGTTGTCCTCGTGTTGAAACGCCACTGAGGATCAAGCAATGCGCTTCTCAGCCAAATCCGTTCAAGCTGATCGGATTTCAACCGATGGGATGTCTAAAATAAATGTGTTTGTGTTTATACGTTCCTATCGTGTTGATTCACGTGGAGAGACGAGTGCGAGCGTGGAAGAGGTGGCATCATTTGTTCATCACGTTGCGTCCCTGAAATGCCTTCCTTTCTCGCCCGTGCGATGATGGGGAGGAGGCGGCGGTTATGTTAATGATACGGTGACGTGCCGTACACTTTTCTTTCAAAGCGAAACTGCGCCCTCTCCTCCCTCCCTTCTCCTCTCCCTCCCCCAAACCCCAGCATCCATCCCTCGGCCTGTTCAATCCACCCCACCACACAGAGAGACAGACAGAGAGAGAGAGAGACGGCTCCTCTTGCACGCACACACACACAGAGACAATCACACTCAGTCACTCCGCGCGTATTGCTCTCTGTACTGACACACGCACTAACACCTAGGACACTGCAATCAGGAAAACCTCGGATATATGATCTTGAGCTTGTACATATATATATTTACACACACGAGTCTGCGTGTTTAATTATGTTGTGAGTCCGCAAACACTTCACTGTAGTATCGCGTATATATAGTACCAGTTCTATTGCAGATATATATACACACACAGACAACACACTGCCACGCTCCATAGCCATGCGGCAGGCACGTTAGGCTTGCAAGCGGCTCGCGGGGTAACAGAAGATACGTACATCTGTGCGTGCGCGCGCGTGTGTGTCTGTGCCGTGTGCCGTGTGCGTGCCCTTGTGTGCGCGTTTCTCGCGTCCCTACACTCGGGAAGGACGAGAGAGTGAGAGCGAGAGGGGGAGGAGGGAGCCCGAGCTGAATTTGTTCTTTTTCCATCGAGAAGATGCCTGCGTTCGTTTCGACGCCGCCTCGAGTCTCGGAGAAGTCGCCGTTGCACATCGCGAACCGCCGCGGCATCCACTAGCGAAGGCAGCGAGAGACGATTTGCAGAAGCCAACAACAACAACGGAACAAGTCCAGCGCGGGCGGCGGTCGGCCCGAGTTCGAAATCTCTCGAGAAGTTTGTTGGACCCGGAGAGAGCCGCGTGAGCTGCAAGTCGCGCGCAGAGTCGGCGTCGTTCTCTCTCCTCTCGTTCATTCACGAGCGCCAGCGTCCGCCGATGCACCTCGGGGTTGGTGACGTTTCGCTTTCTCGTCCTGCACAGCAGAAGATCTTTACAGTTACGGGCAACTGAGCAGGAGGAGGAGGAGGGCAGTCGCCGTTGTGATTGTCCAATGATCGTCCGCTCCGACGAGCTGTCAGCCGATGCTCCTGTACTGCCGTGACTGCTGGATGGGTGCGAGCGGTGAGACGTGAATCCACCTCGGCCCGTTCCACGCCGACGATTTCCCCGCTGCCACCGCTCGACGGCGATCTCGCGGCCACGACAACAAGGAGCGAGCAGAGAGCAACAACCGGGTTCACAATAACAAACAATCAACAACAACAACACGTGCGTGCGTGCGCGCGTGCGTGCGCGCTCCAACAGCGAGACATGACTTAAGCGAAACTTCTTTGACGCGCGCAGAGTGACTGGGCACAACAAGGACAACAACAACAACAAGAACAGCAACAACAACAACGCGACTTGTTTACCGACAAGATAGATCGTCGTCGCCGTCGCGATGAAGGATAAGACAAAGAACGCCGCCAGGACTCGACGGGAGAAGGAGAACGGGGAGTTTTATGAGCTCGCCAAACTGCTGCCTCTCCCGTCCGCGATCACCTCGCAACTCGACAAGGCGTCCATCATCCGCCTCACCACCAGCTACCTCAAGATGCGCTCCGTCTTCCCCGAAGGTAACGAACAAACAAACAACAACAACAACAAACAAACAACCCAACTAGTCGCGTGCGTCCCTTTCCCAGCTACCGAACTCCGTGACGCCGCCACCGCCGCCACCATGGCCACGTGCGGGAGACTAGTAACGTCAGAGTCGGAGTAGTCGGAGTCGTTGTTGCTCCACGCGGTGTGGTGTGGACCTTTCAACTGGGTCTGCTTCGTGACGTTATGCGCGAAGGGCCCACGGTGTCTCGTATTCACCATGAATTCACCACGTATTCACCATGAATTCACCACTAATTCACCACGTATTCACCTCGAATTCACCACGAATTCACCATGAATTCACTTCGTATTCACCTCGTAATCACGATGGATTCACCACGTATTCACCACGTATTCACCATGAATTAACTTCGTATTCACTTCGTAATGCCCACGTATTCACCTTGTATTCACCATGAATTCACCATGAATTCCCCTCGTATTCACCATGAATTCACCACGTATTCACCATGAATTCACTTCGTATTTATCTCCTATTCACCATGAATTCACCATGAATTCACCACGTATTCACTTCGTATTCACCATGAATTCACCATGAATTCACCACGTATTCACCATTAATTCACCTCCTATTCACCACGTTGCATTGCGGGTCTTCAAATATTGATTATAATTTTTATTTAAACTGAATTTGAGAGAAACATTTTAAAGATAAACTTCTCGTTGATATTGTTGTTGTGGTTGCCGACGACTGGACTAACGAAGTCGTGTTGTGCCGCGCGTGATGTCCGACGTTTCGCACCACGTGCTGCTGACGCTGGGAGATTCGTCGAGAACTGAATGCAGCCAGCTGTATTTTCAAGTCTCGCGGTTATTTTACATTTCATATTAGTACAGCGGCGGCTGCTGCTGCTGCTGGTGTCTGACATGGTAAATTAAGTTCGACGGGTGTCTGTTGGCGTGTCGGTGTGCGGTGCAGTAGCTGTGCGTGCGTGACTGTAGCTGTATCGGTGTATATGTGTGTTATTGTGTACTTGTGTGTCAGGGTGTGTAGTTGTGTGTCAGTGTGTGTCAGTGTGTAGTTGTGCATCAGCCTGTGTAGTTGTGTGTCAGAGTGTGTGGTTGTGTGTCAGAGTGTGTACTTGTGTGTCAGTATGTGTAGTTGTGCGTCAGCCTGTATAGTGGTGTGTCAGTGTTTATAGCCGTATCAGTGTATATTTGTGTCACTGTGTGTAGTTGTCAGTGTGTATCTGTGTGTCAGTCTGTGTCAATGTGTAGGGCTGTCAATGTGAATGTGTTTATAATATTTGTAACTTTATGACATTGTCTGTGTATCTACGTGTATTGTGTGTGTACGTGTGTCTGAATGTATGTGTGTGTATATATATCTGTTGCGGTGTGCGAATGCATATCCGTTGTGCATCTCGAAGCGCACCTAGTCTGGTACAACCGCTGCGTTGAAGCCACCGTTACTTCGCGGCGAATAGCGGATGTGTGTGTCTGTGTGTCAGTGTGCGTGGAGAGACAAAGGCGGCCGAGTCGTGGTGCTGGCCACACCATCCCCTCGCGTGCCGTGCCGGCCTACACAGGGGCATGCTGCTACTCGCTAACAGCGCTCGCCCCAACAGTCTACGACTGCAGGAAGGGATCTTTGTCTTTGCTATGTGTGCACTAACGCATTGTTATACATCACGTTTATTCAGTGTAGCGTGCACTTGTGTGCGAAGCGTTCATTGTGTATACTGTGTACAATATAGTTGTTGTCTTACAACACGCAAATCACATGCGTATGTTTCGTACATTACACACACACACGTGTAAATATGTGTGTATGTATTTTTTCTTTCATTGTGTTTTTCCTATTCATAATAGTTGTGCGAGTTAAAGACACGTAATGGTCTGACCACATATGTGTCTTCAAACCCCTCCACCACCCACTGTTGCGTGGCCAAAGCCACACCATCGTCAACATGAATAATGTTGCTTGCATAATATATTTTCATGGAGACCGCACACGCATTTCACATACATGACACACACGTGTCGAGCGCGTTGCATGTAGCTGACATGCAAACCGCGTGCGTGGTGGTGTGCGTCGTGGTGGCTAGGAGATGTTGACTACCTCGCCTGGTCTACAGGAGGTCGTGGGTTCGATACCGACCGTGACGCCTGCTAATGTATATTTTGAGTTTGCGGTGTGTCTCTCTCTCCCCGTGGTCGCGTGAATTTTTCTTCGGGTCCTCCGGGTTTTCACTCCACATTTATAAATATAACTTTAGATAATTTGTCTGCTATAAATGTCCACGTGATAAGCCACTTCGTTGGGCTATCATTTGTGGCCAGGTGGCTTCTGAGAAAGACCGATAATAGTTCAGTGGGACCTTACCTGGTTAAACTTCAAATATATATATATAGTAATAGTAGTCATGTTACGTGTGATTGCTGTGTATATATATACTGCATAGTGCAATACACTTACGTGCAATAGGAAACCACTCAATATTCAAGGTTGATATTCTCAATATCGCACCTCCGTATTGTATTCACTCCCCTCTTCATCTGAAGGCAATGCGAGTTTGAAGACGATCGCTCAATATTCACCGGTTTGCTCGACGGAGTCTAATAATGCGTTTTGACAGTCAATATATACAGTCACAGACTAGAGGCATAGACACGGGTAAGAAGGCGAGGTGAGTGAGTGAGTAGGTGAGCGAGTGAGTTGGTGCGTGAGTAGGTGAGTAGGTGAGTACCACTCAGTACACACACAGTCACAGAATAGAGGCATAGACGCAGGGAAGCAGATCCTGAGCACTCCGTCGTCAACATGAAGCGAGTAGAATGACATTTGAACGCTGTTGACTTTTACACCAACAAGTACAATTTTGAGTGGACGGGTTAACCCAAGAAAAATCACATTTCGCTTCCCGCACACATGATGTAGTGTCCACGCGTGTTGAGTGGCACGTGAATGCACGACTTTCCCGAACTCCAGAATCCCCCGGACCTACCGCTTGCCGTCTTTGCCGATCTAATTCAAGTAATATAATTCTCTCCACGCTGCCGCGCCCGATGATTGTTAAACACACGTCCCGCCTGACGCGCTAAACAATAAACGCTGTCCGCATCACGCGCGGTACACGTGTACACACACGCGCACACACGTGGGCCACGTATACATACACGCACACACACACGTGTGACACGTGTACACACACACACGGAACACGTGTACACACACGCACACACACGTGTGACACGTGTACACACACACGTGTGACACGTATACACACACGCACACACACGTGTGACACGTGTACACACACACGTGTGACACGTATACACACACACACGGGACACACGCACGCGCACTGAGATCTCAACACTTTATTCGAATTGCTCAGCGCGTCACGTGGGACGTGTTTAACAAGCATCGGGCGCGTGCAGCGGTGGAAGGACTCTAAGTTGAGTTTGAATGTGGAACAGATGGGTAAACGCGCATGGCCGGAGCGTGGCGCGTCGCGGCTGCTGGGGTCTGAGAAGCACGACGCTGAATGTGTGCAGTTTGTAAATACCATAGAACAAAATACGAGGTATTCTCAAACTCCGATACGTCGTATGGCGTTAACGCGCACTCTCCGCTGAATTGCCAATTAACTCCGTACACGCTGCACGAGCCCGATGATTGACACAAAAAAACGAGTTCTAACGCGTCTCGCGTTTGAGAGCGGCTCTGCGATCACGATCTGTGTGTGCGTCTCTAAGCGGTGTGGTCAGGGTGAGAACTCGGGGCGACCAGGAGTGACCCGTCTGTCAGTAGGTGGCGACTGTTGCTGCCGGGATGAGGAGGGTGCTCGCGAACTGCACTTGCCCCTGTGATTTGTTAAGGCTATACTGGGTGAAGCTTTGTCTTTGTACACGCTATATTACACACACACACGTACGTACGTGTATATTACACATAGCTCTACATTACACACGCGTACATAATCATTACCCCTTTATACATATATGCATAGCATAACAAATGAGTCGTTTGCGTTGTGACTTTTCGAATTTGGCGAAACTTTGGACCACGATTGGCCAACTCTTGCGAATCACCTCGGCGGCGAATCTTTAACGTCCGGTGTGAGTGAGTGAAGCATGCGGTGCGAGCGACGCTATCACTGCTACCATATCGTCGTGGTTAACACAGCGGCAGGAGTAACACGCGTGTTACTAGCGCTGCGCCACGTCACCGTGGGACGTGCCTAGCAATCATCAGGCGCGTGCAGCGTGTGCACCGGTTTAATTCGTGCGCGCACTGAGAATGTTGGTACGCGTAGACACGAAAGTGATGATGTATGGACGTTAAGCCCCGCACATTAATACGCACTTTAAAAAAAAACAAATGCAGTTGCAAGTCAGTGCAGTGTCCGCACTGTATTATTTCACGTGCAACATGTGTATAACATGTGTATATACTAACACGTGATTAATAGCATGTAATCTGCAGTCTATGACACATCCGTGTGTAAGAGCAGTGTGCATCGTCTGCCTGTGTGCTATGGTCAATCAGCTGCTGGATGAAGGATGATACCCGGTATGTAAACATCAGCATTGGGGAGACAAAGGCGGTCGGGCGTGGTGTACATTGCCGGCTTTCATCATGGGTGCTACTCGCTCTACAGTCTCCCAAGGCTGTAACATTGTCCACGCGCTATTAACAACACACGCGCATCTTCCACACAGCTGTTCGATATCACACACGCGTGCGTGATGGTTACACGTGTTTCATCAGCGTTGTTGTCGTCGGTACGTTCTGCGCACGTGCACATTTAATAGAATCAGAGAGTCATTTCTCACTTGGTATGTTCCTGGAACGCCGCTCGTTCGGCTGGCGAGTTAAGAAGTCGGCAGTGTCGGCCTAAGGCACTAACCACGACTACAGAGTATAAGCTACCCCTATCACTAACAATATTCTATCATTATTATTATACCATATACTCATCTGAATCATAAGAAAACGGAT